CCGAGAGTTTCCTTTTGCCACATTTGGACACGTTATATCGATCAATTCCTCATTGAGGTGAGTCTGTGATACTTTCTTTCGATCCTTGGATCAAACGGCAATATCTGTTGGCATTTTTGAGCTCAGTCGCCCTCTTGCAGCCTCTTGCGGCAAGCGGTGTAGTGATGACACAGCATCAAGTGATCATTCGGTCTGAAAGATTTGACACGATTAGACCTCTCTCTCTGATATACTGAGGATCGTGTATACACAAAGGTCATTTACTTGCGGGTTTCCCGCTCCATGACCCAGACGCCAGGGAGTTTTATTGATCAATCGGATCGCTCCGATGGAAGCCTGGTAAGCGAGTCCTTGCTGGTGCTCGACGGCTGACTCAAAATAGTCATAATGAGCCGGTCAGAGCTGGTCTCGATCTACTCGATCCAGTTCAGTATGTTGACTCTGGGAAAATGTCACCAGAGCTGAGCGCTACACAGCATCATCAAGACGTTATATCACTCGTAAAACCTCGCGGCTTTTCGGCGCAAGGTATACTGCAGATTTATACTACACAAAGTTGTCCTGGAACTTTTCCACAAAGGTTCCAGAACACATTTTCCACAAAGCCAGAAAGGCAGAATACGTTCTGGCTTCCTGGACTTTGATCAAATTCCCACCCTCCCAAATCTAACTCACACATTCATCATCACAAAATGACCGACAAGATTCCCTGTTCAAGTACTCCATCAACGCCCCCGCACAAAATACCACCGCCAATCTTCACCCCTCTTACTTTCCAACTCTTGATCCTAGAGGCTGCCAGTTACAATATCCACTATTGATATCGTTCAAGTTTCAATCTTTTGGTCAGAAATCAACTCAGGCAGATATCGATCTCGTTCAAGATCCAACAGTCTATTTTAACCTTTTTTTGTATCATCAAATAAAGCTTCGTCTCATTAGAGAGAAGGCGCAGATTCGAGCGATTCGTTATTACTATTTTGTCGATATGGTACTCGTTTTACCAGATTTTTCACGTTTTCGCTTGCAAAGTAGACAAAGGACCACTTTTAGACGTCGTGCACAGTCCGATCAACTTTAACATTCGTTTTAAAACGTCGAGCCTCCTATAGTTTCAGTGAGGCTCGACGTCATCTACACAGCCGATGACGCGGGCAAACGCAGCATTGGGGGCTTTTACGCAGCCAGTCCTTTTGTTAGTGAAGGAATAGGAAGGTGCTTTTCTATTCCTTTTTCTGCTATCGCTATTTCTGTTATCTCGTGATGAGAAAACTGCGCAGGACGTCAAAAACCAGTCTATTTTCTATTTGGAGACTGGTTTAGAGTGCACATCACTGGATTCAAGTGCTCATCTGCACTTTAATCGAGGCTTTCAAGGTGCCTTTCACCCAGATGACACGAATGATAGCTATGGGTTTGCCCACTTGAAATATGTAAAAGAGGATTTGTAGAAGGGGGCAGGTGAAATCGGGCAGCCAGGATGAAGTTTCAATCATCGGTATGTCATCGAGGTATCTCAAACACCAGGCATGGGATTAGATAGGTGACTGAGTGACATCCACAAGGCTGTCACTCGTCCTATAGTTTAACCTTCCTGCTGATACCAAAGCCAAAAACCACTCTAATGTACTTCAAATAGTAACGAATCGCTCGAATCTGCGCCTGGTCCTTATTATGTTGTACTCGATTTGATTCTAATCGATTCTTCCAATTGATTAGTAAGACTTACTTTTAAGTCCTGACCAAACAGTAATGAGATCAAGTTTATTGAAAACCAATAGTAATTGGGTTCTAATCGATTCTCCCGATCGATTAGAATCAAATCATCATATTCCAATCAATTCTCCTGATCGATCAGAATCAAGTTATCATCACTTCTAAGATTCTCACAAGATAGATCAAATATCCTAAGATAACTTATAAGTGAGAGTGATAATGTGATCATATACTCGATTTGAAAAAAGCTACCCTCATAAATTGAACATAGCAACCTTGGATCAGATTGGTGAGTTGATGTATTCCAAAATGTAAAGAGTGATGATCTAAACACATATCGGTCAACAAGGAACGTAGATTATTGAAGAGAAAGGAATGATATCAAAACACCCCTTATGGTAGCTACTTGAATATGTGATGCTTGTTTCATTTCATCAATTGACAGATGTATGTAGTGTTTGGTTTGTGGTGTCCTTTTTGAGCGATAGTGTGGTGTATGACAACGGAGGTGCAAGATGGATGTGAGTTGAAGAGATCGAGTGGTGATCGAGGGGGGAGATGCAGAGGCCTCGAGGGTTGTGCACAGAGTCTTTTGGACCCTAGGGGCAAAGGGCATTCAAAATGGGTTTTTTTCCACAAGTCCACGAAGCCAGAACACAGCCAAAATTTTCTTTTCTGGCTTCGTGGAAAAGTGTTCTGGAACCTTCGTGGAAAAGTTCCAGAACCACTTTGTGTAGGACAAGTTCTTTCACCTTTATAAAGGTTTGTCTATTTTGATTTTGGTACTTTTTTACTTTTTTCAGCTGTTTCCATGTCAGCACAAGGCTGAGAGTATTCTTTCACCTTTATAAATGTTCAATCTTTTCTTTGTAGAGCTTAGTGTCTCTGCAGGTCTCACATTCTTACAGGTGGTTCACTGATCAAGAAGCCCTAGAGCAGGAGAGACTTGACTATTTCTCTTTGATATTGTTTCAAGTGTACTGAATTTTAGGAATTGAGAAATACCAGGAAATATATTGCAGAATATTCCAAACTTCAACATCAAAAAAATGTTTGCCTTTCCTACACAAAACATTGTGGGCCAACTCAAGTGGGAATAGTATTGTATGTATTCAGTGCCATTTGATAGGTGTAAAGGACTCTTAGTCCTCACTTGAAGGAAAGTCTCAAAGAGGGAACGGGTTCAGATTGGTCACATAATGGACTTGCTTTTCTAGAACCCAAGTACTGATATCTATATTGCCTGACTCCAAAGGACATGAATATGAGATGAGTCTCAATTCCCTAAGGAGCCAGTACAACGAGAATTCTCAAATGAGAAGTAATAGGATAACTGTTAGGTCATAAGGTTATGTGTCTAAGTTATAATTTGTGGTGTATGTTTATAGTTGACGTGTTATGCTTGTAATGATGGAATGTAATGATGGAAGCATCATTACAATAGGCCGGAGGGCCATTATCTCTGTATACAGCTCAGCAGTATCCAAGATATGGTGGAATTGGCCTTCAGGCTGAGCAGGTGCCAATGCCATCCATGATCCTTAACAGCTTAAAATAAGTCACATACCACACAGAGAGTGTAGTTTCCTTCTCAATGATCTATGAGTCATCCACACAAAGCAAGATACAACATAAGTTAGAAGGTTGCTTTTAGTGTGATAAGAAGAGTTTGATAGATCATTTATTTTGCAAACATAAAACAAACATATACAAGAAATAATAAAGAGATGGAAAACACAATGAAGAAAACTAAATATCTTACCTATGAGTCATCCACACAAAGCAAGATACAACATAAGTTAGAAGGTTGCTTTTAGTGTGATAAGAAGAGTTTGATAGATGAGGAAACAAACTCTTTAGACTACTAGGTAAATATTTATAGAAAAAGGAAAACAAAATAATAGCTCGAGTTAAGGAAGACACTTGTGAGTTGTAGTGATGAGAGAAAACAGTATCCAAGCTACATATTAAATCATGAAATGAAATGGCAATCTTTGAGATTTACAGACACAACAAGAGCACACTACACAACGCTGCAACAGGAATAACATAACACACTTGAGCGCATACACTAAACAACTAACATGATTGATGGTATAGGTTTTGTCCAATCTAGCCCATATTACGTGAGGGTTTGAGTTATTTGAAGGAACATGAACATGAAGACACATCATGTCATGGCAAGAAAAGATTTTGAGCATGGTCAAGACCATTAAAAGTGTTGAGCTATACATACGTAACAAGAGGTGTTGTTAGCTTCTTTCCTTTCTCGAATTCTTCTTTGGTTGGGTATACATATGTGTTGGTGTATCTGACACCCCACAATTGTGACCTTGTGCCAGTTGTTTCAGATGTTCCTGCACATTTCTTAAGCATCTTGCTTTCAAGCTTCAAGTTAAGTTATTTTCTGTTTGGATGCAAGAGTAAGAGCAAGTTTTGCATGGAAATCCAGGTGAGCTTTTGTGTGTTCCATACATTGACCCCTCAAAATCTCACACCCATGTGTGTGAAAGAGCTTGGCAAAACTGAGGATATCTCCAAAAGGGAGGTGCTTTGGAGTCACTTGTTTGGTGGTTGATGTGAGGAGGACACACAAGCTCACCTGACTTCCTGTGCACAACATCTTTTGGAGATCCAATCAATGTGATTGATGTGGTTGGATATGTACTGAATGAGCACTGCCAAGGGGGCGGTTTTCTCCCATCTCAGACAGTCTTATGCCTTACAGCCAATGTTTCCCCTTGTCCATCAAAATTGCAAAACTGCCAAGCTGAAGGGTGTCTTAATGTTTATAGTTCTTATTCTAGATTTGTTACTGTGACAGGCAAATTCCTAATCCAAACTGTGGAAGGAATTCTTCCATGTACACAGAAACAGGTCTTCTCCTCACAAAGTTGCTGCATCATTCAAGTTAACCAAGAACAATAGAATCAGATTAAATTGGCAAATTGAGAGATTGGACTAATCAGAAAATCATCCACATTCATATCAAAGGATCATTCATATACAAAACTCGACAATGCCTCCACTTTCAACCTGCACAAACACAGAGTTTAACCAGCAGAAGTTACATCTGCAATAATCATTCTCCATCTTCTAATGGCATCTGTTATTTGCTTGATCCCACTGGCATATCATCACAATTTTATATATCTTTCCACTATGCGTTGAATTCATACGAGGAATCGCAATTTGGTCTCGTGAGCACATTTTTTCATCTCAGCATACCCCACCCAAACAATCCGATCATCAGCATAGCAAAGTCGCAACTTTGAAGACAAACCGGCGCAGAAGGTATTCCTATGGAAGACATCATTGTACCAACTCACAAACGGGGTCTTAGTCTTGCAGCATCACATACACTGTCAACACGTTGTGCCACGTGTGTGTGACTCCTCAAGAACATTAAATGTAATCATCACAAAACATCCGCTTCATCAAAGTGAGATTATTCACAAGTAGAAGTATAAAGACGCGCCGTAACCGGTGTGCTGAGGTCATTGCAGGATAATCAGACTAAGACATTAATGAGTCTAGACAGATATAAGCCACGACAGCAAAAAAGACAAAGATTTTGATAATGAAAAACAAACAAATTGGAAGAAACGACGAAAAGATGCAAAAGTAGATGATGTCAAATGACAATGGAGAACGACAAAACTGGGGTGACTCAGACACTACATGATTCCAGCAATGTAGCGCATTAGATCTGTAACTAAAATAAGACTGTTGATGAGGAGAAAATCATGCTGTGTTGATGGTGAAAGTCACAGCCGAGACCTTGCCAACTTGAGGTTTCTTTCCGGCAAAAGTGACGTCGGCACTGAAGACGATTGCAATTGGGAAGTTCAATTTGATGGATCCATTCAGGACCATGTGGTAATGGCTAGCAGAGCTAGAGCTCTTGAGCTGGGCTAAATTGGTTTGTCAAGTGTTAGCCTCCGCGGACATGCAAAGGAACGGGGTGAAAAGCGGGAGAGCGCTCACCAGATTTGATGGTGAAGGTCAGTTGACCATATTGTTCGTATTGGCGAAAGGCGTTGATGAACTCTGACAATACCCTTCCAGTCAGCTTTGTAGAACGAGAACTAGAGCATTTGGTATTGGTGGCTTACCTTGCTTGCTTCGAACCTGTGTCGTCTCACCAAATACATTGTTCACGAGCTTTTTAGTTCCGTTGTCTCCAAGTAAATCCCAGATACCAGCATAGTTCTTGCTTGAAAAGTCTCTCTGCATAGTATTCAAGAGAGGATTTAACGTGTTGATGTCTGCTTTGGCAAAATCTGATAAACAAAGCGTCTGTAAGTATATGAAGGTTTCAGTTATAGTCTAAGATAGACGCTCTAACTCTTTGACCAGGTTACCGCTAACGTATTGGATAGCAGGCCGACGAGGACAACGAGCGTGACGAAAAAGAGGGTTGAGATCTTCATGATAAATATTGTGATGAAAAGATGAGTGGCAGGTAGTTGGATAGATTGGAATAGAAAACTTGATGATATGAAAAGTGCGAATGAGATCTGCTAGTATTTATACGTATGAAGGATGTATGAAGGAAATTCGACCCTGCGGTCTGGACTCCCTGTCAAGAAGCCTGGCCGAAGGATTCGCATGGGGAATTGATGGTGTCCAGTATCTACCACTGAGATATTCTGATCATTTACCAAAACGCGAGTCCGAGAGTTTCCTTTTGCCACATTTGGACACGTTATATCGATCAATTCCTCATTGAGGTGAGTCTGTGATACTTTCTTTCGATCCTTGGATCAAACGGCAATATCTGTTGGCATTTTTGAGCTCAGTCGCCCTCTTGCAGCCTCTTGCGGCAAGCGGTGTAGTGATGACACAGCATCAAGTGATCATTCGGTCTGAAAGATTTGACACGATTAGACCTCTCTCTCTGATATACTGAGGATCGTGTATACACAAAGGTCATTTACTTGCGGGTTTCCCGCTCCATGACCCAGACGCCAGGGAGTTTTATTGATCAATCGGATCGCTCCGATGGAAGCCTGGTAAGCGAGTCCTTGCTGGTGCTCGACGGCTGACTCAAAATAGTCATAATGAGCCGGTCAGAGCTGGTCTCGATCTACTCGATCCAGTTCAGTATGTTGACTCTGGGAAAATGTCACCAGAGCTGAGCGCTACACAGCATCATCAAGACGTTATATCACTCGTAAAACCTCGCGGCTTTTCGGCGCAAGGTATACTGCAGATTGTTCAGAGATAGCAGAGACATACGGCTACTGACCTCGAACCATTCTCCCGTCCAATGAGTCACATACTCTCGCCGTACCTACAAAAAACAAAAACAAACCGATTGTCAACTTTTGAAGACTGATGACGTCGCAGAGAGATCACTTGACCCAAGGCCCGATCCACACCAGGCTTCTGCGACCCCATCCCGCAGTTTCCAGCGGACTGGTAATCTCTCAGCAGATGGGAAAACAATATTCCGACCATCAAGTGAGACATCGGAAGATATCTTAGAAGATGAGAATGATAGTTATGTAGAAGCTTTTCTAGAATACTCCAAAACTGAAGAGTTTCAAACGGATTTTGATGGTCCGGTCATCTCAACGTCTGTACATTATTGGCAACATGTTGAGGTTACTACTAACCATCAAGACCTTGGTGATCAAAACACAACAAACGAATTTGACTCGTTATTGGTGGACCCTGCTATAGAACAACTCGCGGAACCTTACACCTCGGTTACTCAGATAACACAGCAAACACCTATTGTGATTGATGACAATGATGTCAATATGGACTACCTTTCTCGTGGCACAAACCCGACCACGACTATCCCTGAATCACACCTTGATCATATGCGATCGGTGGCGGACAATCAAGATCCTGATGCTGTCATTACTACACTCGGGACTTGGCCACTCTAAATTAGCAAAGACCGATCACGCATGTAGTCAATAATGATGACTATTTTCTGCAGCTTCATCAATTGGGTCAAGATCATCAAGAGAAATTTAGCATGATCGATGAACTGCTTGAAAGGTACCTGGATATAGATGTATCACCAGTATTGGGTGTGGATGCTGATGATCAAACCAGAATACAATCTTTCACGACATCACCCAGCTCAGATTTCTAGGGATCCCGCCCCAAAATCCATCTACCAGCTTGACATCTGCCTGTGTTCCTCTGAGGCGACTGAAAGAACAAATGCCCCGGTAAGTGATCTCATACCTAGCATCAATCATGGCCACACTTTATCTTTTATTAATGCTTGGCTTCTTCAGCCCTCTGCTTCTGGCGTGCTAAATTCACAGGAAATCATAGTACAACAAATTATCAAACAAGATACATAAGAAACAAATGAAAATCGAATCGAATCAAACACCAAGTTAAAGACCAATTTGCTTCAAACTTCGATGATCCTCAACTTTCATCTTGATACTAATAGCGGTCGGATTTAGGTAAGTCTTTGTACATTCATCAAAGACAAGATTAAAGAAGACTGATTTATCTTCTCATACCAGATCTATCTCTTTATGGAATTATTGTTCCAGTCTTACCTTTCGCACCCAAGCAACTCGGAGGAATACCAGACCAAGATATCCAACCTATCATCTCTGCTATCTTAGCAGCCCGTGCATCAGCAGCTTTTCTTTTTCCTCGGTGCGCTGGCTTAATCTCTGATGCTGGTAAGGGTTGCTTCCTTTCCTATATGTATTGGTAGCCATGTCTGCTGCATGTCATCTTGATCTTGGCTTTTGGATCAATCTTTCACTTTTTCATTTGGTCATATGAAGCTTCCTGATTTACTCTGCTTTGAAAGAAACATCCTGCTTCTTTTTTTTTGGCTAGAATTCTTCAAGGTCTCACTTCTGGTAAGCTCTAATTAGGAATATAAGTGTTCACCTTGAAATCTAGAATTCATTCCACAAAGTTTAGCATTGATTCTTGTGCTTCTTCATCAACAGCTATTACCTGGACTGTAAGATTAACATTAATAGTAGATATAGAAGGGAGAAGTTGACATTATTTTTTGGGTCCAAAAAATCTATTGCAATACTTTACTTCAAACACAAATATATTTGTAAATTGGGAAATTAATCAACTATGAAATATTCATTGTGGATCTGAATCTGTGATTTCAAGATATCAATTGTTTTTTGCTGATGACTTCTCCTTGAATCTACAGACTTAAAAATTATGTTTTGACAAATCAAAATTTGGAAAAAACCTTGAATGTGATACATGAAGGGAGAAGAAATTCACAAAATTTTTCAAGGATTTGTTGATGTGAAGAACATTTTGGTAAAGCCAAAGGCTTTATGGGAGTGTAGGGAGAGCTTATAAGCAGCCATGCGGCAAAGATATCATTGAGATTAAGTTGATATTCTTTCCATAAAAAGGTCCTCTGTGAATTTTGTCTTTCTTTGCACAAATTCTGACAAGTTCAGTTCACATAGTGGATGATATTAGTCCTTCTCAGTCTGACAACCTACCATGGGCTTTCATGAACCACAATTTTTCTATAACCTAAGGGGAATTTATTGCCAGATGACTTTATTTTGACTAGCCAGTGGTCAGAAGAGTTACAGAACATTTGTTTTTTTGCAAAATCATACTGGGCCTCAAATTTTATAAGCTTTAGGATAAGTGTGAGATACATTATTAGTGAAGTTAAATTGGCCAGTGCAATCACCTGATTTGAACCCAATCAAAAATCTTTGCCCATCATGAAATCCAAGATCTCAACTAAAAATCCGATCAAGGATCTCGATTCCATGAAGGCCAATGTGTTAGAATCATGGGAGAGTGTACCTACAGAGAAATTGGGATGTCTGGCTGCCTCAATGCCCAAGAGACTTCAAGCTGTCATTGATGCAAAGGGTGGATCCACCCCTGGTGATTAGTCAGGTATTTTTTTCTCTGCACTCTAGATTTTTTCTTCATAAATCATCAGATAGAGAAGATGCTGATTATTTTTTCTCACTATCTCTAACAGGCACTATTGTATATACAATTAAAAGTTATAATGAAATTTGTAAAAGAAAGTCATTTTTTTTTTGAACAAAATGACAAAACCGTAGATTTTGTGTGACTACGTGTAATCTAACATTGAAACCATTAAGGGGTTAGGGGTTAGGCTTAGGGAAAGGATATGTGCACCCCTCTCCAAGTGTATGTGACATTACCTCTGCTCCTAATCACCATTGTTCATCTCAATCCTGGTTCTCGCCACCTTTAGACCTTACACCCAGTATGGCCTCCATACCATACCTTGCCCTACTACATTCCTTTCCTGTTGCTTTCTACCAGAAACAACAATTTATCATCCCTCCCTCAGATTGCACCAATTTATTTTTGGTTGCCTTAACTGTGTAATATACCTGGGCTAGCTTTCTGATTTGTTACTCATAATGTATAAAGTGATCTCCATCAATTTATAAAATACATTCTACTGAATTGACCTACAGACAACTTCTAACAAAGCTTTCCTGATGGAGTAATCTTTGAACAAACATTCTATGTATATTGAGTTCAGTTGAGCCCATATTATGACTGCGGCGCCCGCCACCCAATTTGGCTAGTTTTTTTAAAGTGTGTATTTGCTTTATTGCATACAATCATCATATGTTGGACATCAAGAAAATATAACACAAGGTTTTACTGTCTGCAAGGAGATTGAACTACAGCATTCACCACCAAAAACCAGCAAAATATGTGTGTTAATAAATGTGAACTTTTATTTTTGTCCCTTTTCCATGTCCAACACAATGGAATGGTAGAAACTGAACAAGTGGCATTCTAACATTAGGAAAAACTGCCATCTAGTCAGAACAAGAGACTTTTTTTCTTTAGATTATTACATATGCACCACAAAGACAGTTAATTGCGTCAGGGCGTTGGGCATGTCCAAAATTGGGAACACAACCCAACGTCCACTAATGGGGCACTGGCTCGACACCTGGATGCATATATATCCATGCCGCATCCTGAAGATGCTCTGGTGTTTTCCTTGCCAAGATGAGATTTGAGCACACTGTGCTTGGATCACCTAGGGATGTCCAACCAATGGATCACCCCTAGGGCAAACGCTGGGTGTCCACCTGGTAATCAAATGTCTTATGCCCACATGATTGAGGTAGGACAGCCACCAGTATTCTCAAGACTGGGTGTCCAATGAGCACTACATCAAAGGACCTCAATGGTGCAAGGACAGTTAAATTTGAATATTGTTTTGGTATAAGGTTTTGCATGACATCATCATGTGATGACTTTGACACTTTGATCCGCACCAAAGCATTTTCATCCTTTTTCATCTCTTTGATTTCTTCTTCCACCTTCATCTCCTTCCCCCTTTCTTTTGATCTTCTTCATCTTTTTTCTGGTCACTTCCTCGTACCATAAAGTGAATTTGATTTAACTTTGACACTCGAGGCTTTTTCCTTGTTCACAATGACAATTGAGCTGATTGAATTTTAACGATTAAATAACAAAGGCAAACTCCCATCTTACAACTTATCACCTTGATGGTGTCTTTTTTCTTTTTAAAATAAAATCACCCAGGTGTTATCTTATTTTGTTTACTTCAGCTTCTTAATCTCACTATCCACAATAAACTCTTTAAACTCTTGGATTGCTGATTTTCTCAAACAAGCAGCTTACATACCTTAGGCTTTACATACAAATTCAATTGAACTCAAAAGCTTCAAACGCAAAGAAATCAAAGGTAAGTTTTTCTAGATTGCTTGATTAACTTTATTTCTGGGAACATGTTCTGATTCGGGATCTGCTTTGATCTGTTTACCATCTGAAGTGTGTGTATCTAGTTGACCATCAATCTGAAGTCCTTCATCTTGCAATATCTTTGTTCTACAAATCTTGAAGCACCGTTTTAGACAGACGAGTCAAGTGAGAATGATGATTAATACTGAGAATCATGAAGGGCACGTTCACTTAAGCAATTTCTGGTGAGAAATCACATTCTGCAAAATTTAAAGTGTCTATTTGGTGGTACATGTTTCATTTTTGCATTAAAATTTTTACAGAATGTGATTTCTGGTCAGAAATTCCTTAAGTGAACGCACCCGAATTGATTTGTTATTGAGCAATTTACAGAACACAATCCATCAAATATCACGATTGAAGTCAATGATTGAGAAAAAGACCAATTATTCCTATCAGCTTTTGGTGATAGACATTATTGTTTTTATCATTTCATTGTTTTATCGTTTTTATCACTCTATCGCTTGTATTACTTTATTGTCTTTATCTTCTTTTTGTTTGTATCATTTCATCAATGTTGGCCATTTGAATTACAAATATGTTTCATAATGATGCTTCATAGGAAATATAAATGCACTGTTATTAATCAGAATAATTCTGAAATCAGTGAACCAAAAATCAACTGGACAACCTACATAGATCCAGGGAGATATTGAGGAGTGATTCTCTTGGAATCAGTGATGCATGTGCCTTCACAACAAACCTTGAGGCATGTCAGATGGATGTTGATTCGTGGGTTCTGGCCAGCCCAATGGGCTCTGCTCAGGCATCTGAACTTTGGAGTCCGACAGATGTTTCTCTGTGTGCTGTCCGAGGACGTCGGTCCAGGACCCCGGAAAGCTCCTGGAGGGGTTTTTGGATACCGGTGTTTTGTGAAGTCATGTAACACAGTACCAGATATGTGATAGGTGCAAAAGATGCGCCTCAACAAGGGCTATTAGATGGTACACATGTCTGACTCTGAACATGACTGGTTGCTTTGGAAATGTGTGATTCGTAACTTTTGCCCCCCCAGGCCGGCCAAAACCCATACCGGGTCGGGCCAGGTACTTACATACGGATATCTCGGTAATTACACGTGGTACATAAGTAAAAGTATATGTAATCGAGAGCCCTGATTAAGGCGGTTCTCCTGCCACCGAGAAATCCATGTTATACCATGTCTCCTGGATGCAAATGGTGAAAGTGTGAGGGTCAGGGCCGGAATGGATCCAGGACGGATTGTTCTCCAGAAGCTTTCCGGGGTCCTGTCCGTCCCCCACCAAGGAAAATTGGACATCCAATGGACATCCAAGTGTCCTTGTGGTGTAGTTGTTCTTTTGATTTGAGACCTTTGTCTTGTGCTTTTTGTTTTAATTTTCCTATCCTTATGGCCCTAAGAAGCAGTTTTGTTCATACATACATTTCTGTGAGCACGAGACTGCAGTCTGATCAAAAGATGATTGTGCAACTGTGATCGCCAAATTCTAAGTTCAAACGTGCAAAACTGGGGCTGTACCGATGACAGCCGGGTCGCAGTTTGCCTCAAACGATTCCCGCATCGAGTAGCCGCGCGCGCATCATTTCGGGTTTGATTAGGTTTAGAATGATGAGAGATACCGGTCCAATCAGTCAAGTCCATTTATGTGATTCTCGCACTAGCAGCGAGCCCGCTCTTCACCACCTCCTCAAGACAACCCTTCAAGCCATCCATCGCCGAAAGACACGGTGCGTTGCTCAGCTACTCGAACCTCTTGCGGCCACAGACACTGTGATATGGCGTCGTATGTACCTCTGGTACACGACCCATGATCAGGGCCAACGCTGCTGGCAAACAGATGCAGCTGGCCCTTGATTCTGATCCATGTCTTTCGCTTGCTCTACCAACCTACTCGACCTTCGCAGATAGTCGCAATGGCCGCCACTACTAAAACTCCTCGGTCACGAAACTACGAGATTGGTCCCCTTGTCAATCGCTACTCGAAATCGCAGCTTTACTCCAAGAAGGGCTCCTACAAAAGGCCCCACAAGCCCATCGCCAGCTCTAAGCCTGCCCCAGTTGATGTCACAGCCACCAAAACCGTCAAGGTCACACTTTTCTCTGGATCTTGATTATAAGTAGTATCCCGTCTCACACGTCCATGTCGGTTTCTTCTTCAGGTTGGTGGTGCCAAGAATGGAGGTGAACGTGTGGTTCCTGTTCACAAGGCACCCAGATTCTATCCCACCGAGGATGTGCCCCGTCCTTTGAAATCCCGAAAGACTGCTCGCGCCCCTGGTCTCCGCTCCACCCTCACCCCTGGAACCGTCATCATCATCTTGGCTGGTCGATTCCGTGGCAAGCGAGCTGTCTTCTTGAAACAGCTCACCAGCGGTCTTCTCCTCATCTCCGGACCATTTAAACTCAACGGTGTCCCCCTCCGAAGAGTGAACCAAGCTTACGTTATCGCCACCCAGACCAAGGTCGATGTATCATCGGTCACGGTAAGCGGCCTCATTCAGCTTCATTCGAACTACCCAGACTGATGCCCTACTTTAGTTGGATGAAAAGCTAGATGACGCTTATTTCTCCAAGGACAAAAAGACTCGTGAACAGCGAGCCAAGGCCAAAGAGTTCTTCGCTGAAAACGGTGAGAAGGAAAAGAAGACACTCCCAGAAGCCAAGATCGCCGATCAAAAACAGGTATGTCAATTGTTAATTGTTGTGGAGCTTTCGTTATCTCATCCATGAATCTACTTGTAGGTTGACAAGGCCCTCAGCGCTGTCATCGCCAAGACACCCAACCTTGCGAAGTTCTTAGCTTGTCCATTCGGATTGTCGAAGGGTGAATTCCCTCATTTGATGAAATTTTGATTTACATAATAATCAGGACACTGCTCAGTACATGTATCCCTTTCATGTCATGTTCTGTAAGCATGGCGAGCTCCCAGCCATTTTCAATCGTCTTTCCCGCTCCCTTATGCCTCAGCCATCTCGCAAGTCAAACTATGCTTTACTTTGATCGCACATTTATATGATGTATACGTCCCATTGCAATACCTTACCCTACCTTACCCCAAGATCACTGCCGTTGTTGCGAAATCCCAGTAGTCATGACTTGCCGAACGCGGGATCAACAATCCACTTCATTAGAAGAGAATCACTCTCTTGGTTCATCACCTGAGCCACCGGTACCCCCTGAAGGTGCCAATTTGAGTTGCCTTCTCCCAGCCAGGTGGAAGGCATATGTATATTGACTGGAATGCGCAAACTTGACCAAGTCCTAACCTGACAAAGTCCCTCAGTAGTTGGACACTTTCCTCGCGAGCTTGGGTGTCTGGAGAGGGACCTATGTATTATCGGGCTTCCCTGGTGAGCAAGCAGGGGGTTCAGTATTTGATTTGGCTGGGAGGTTTTTTGAAGGATTTTACTAAAAGCAGCCCCCCCTTCAAAGGCTTGACCGCCCCCTTTTAGTCGGGGAAGAAGAATACAATATAAAAAAGGCTGTCAGTTATTGATCCGTGTGAATGCAAAACTGAACATCAAGGGGGCGGTCTTGAATTCAGGTGAAATGGAAGCCAATCGTTAAAAGCATCGTTATCACCTCCTCCTGCTTTCATGGCTTAAGATCTGTTGTTGGATTTGGTGCTTGATGATTCAAAAATCTCCTTCCCTGGCGTTGTTTACAATCACAAATTTCCTCTTGCCCTCCTTTCGCAGTGATTGATAAATATTTCTACTTCTTCCTTGTTCTTTCTTGTGATGATGAAACACATGCGCACGTAAAGAAAATCGATCGGTAATAACCGAAGCAAAGATTTGATTGATAATGATAAGATCCTTCATTAGATCAAGGTTATATATTACACCTCACATCCAGACCAACATGTATCACGATTGATAAGTGATGATGAAACACGATTGGATATTTCATTGCTTCATCGTCATCATCATATAGAGAAAGTCGATCAGAAGAACATGCGTTATCAGGTGTTGCCTCTGCCATGCCAGAGACTGGAAGCAAGATAGTATCAATAGCATTCTGTAGCATCTCATCCAGTTTCCATTTCACCTGAATTCAAGACCGCCCCCTATGTGTTGTTTTGAATTCACACATATTCACACGCTTTTGTATTGTAAACGTCTTCCCCGACTAAAAGGGGGCGGTCAACCCTTCAGAGGGGGGGCTGCTTTTAGTAAAATCCTTTTTGAAACCCCAAAAAGTCCTACTTCCTCTCAATCAATCCCCTTGCCCATTTTGACTGGAGCTACCTGTATCTGTTCCCATCATTTCTGTCTACATATGTATTCAGATTTCTTGTATCTCACTCTGAGCTTTCTCAAGAAAGGAATGAAGTTTTTACAATTTGGATTCTTGTTGCAGGGAATGACTGTATTGGCAAAACAAAATTTGCAAGAACACATTCCATTTGCTCTTGCAAGGGGGCTGCATTTTTGTCAAAGAACTTTGGTCAAAGACAAAGGTTGTTCATTTCTTTGGTCAAAGACAAAGGTTGTTCATTTCCTTGTTTTGAGGATGTTTCCCTTGTAGACAATCAGGTCCATTTGAGTTCCTTCTGGCACACCAAACCTAGCCAATAATACACAAGTCCTTCTCCAGGGCACTGAGCTTACAAAGTTAAGAAGTCCCTGAGAGAATTATGGGACTTGTGTTAAGTTAGACCAAGTCCTTTGCCAAAGGCCCAAGGCTTGAGCAAGGGACTTACCACCAGAAACAGGGATCTTGCCTGAGAGGTGAGCAGTATTGGCTGGAAAACCACTACAATAAATGCTCTGTTTTGTTTCCAAATGAGCTGTGCTTGACTCAAACTGAAATGAGGACAGAAAAGGTCCATTACATATGACATGATTTCAAGCTCTTGTGGAACTTCTGACATTGGGTGATAAACTATGAATCTATAGTGGCAACCATCAAGAGGCAAGCCACAGACTGGGTAACTTGTAATTACAACAAACAATTTGATTTTCACTTGGTGTACCTTTGACCATCAAAAATTTTTAAAAAAAGAACTTAAAAAACTGGTCTTTTGGAGATATTTTTGAATGAGCAAGAGAACTCCAAAAGTATCTTGATTTGTGAATTGAGTGATATTTGTGACTTTGGCAATCTTTTTTGAAAATTCCCTGGTTAAGTGGTGCTTGATGCCACTATATTGCAATATTTCCTGGGCAGTTAGCCTAAAATATAAACCAATGCGATGGTTTTGAGCTGATACAGCCTACTTCTCAGACAAGAAATCTGCTTTTAATGGTAAGTCCCTTGCTCAAGCCTTGGGCGTTTGGCAAGGGACTCAATTAAGTTTGTGAAATGAAACCCACTTGAACTCATTCTATATAAATAGTCTCTGTGTGTTGTAACCTGTACTAACACATCTCACCATGCTTTGTGGCATTCTGCCAAGCAAGCTACATTCACTATGCTATAGATGTGTTCCTCATGAGGGATTGGCTGATCTGCTTATATCTTGCATTCCTGGGTGCAAAGAGAGGATCATCTCACCTTAACTTACACTTGTGAGCTAACGTGACTAAGTCCCTCCAAAAGCACACATCCTTCATAGCTTGAGGAGGAGGGACTTGGAGCATCCGCAACAGTCCACTTATTTTGGAGGCTCCTGGAGGCTCTCACACATTTACAAACTTATATAAGTCCCTTTGCTTTGGCCCTGATATTAGTAGGATTCAATTGATGAGGTAGTATTAACATTGGTATTGGGAAGATTGAAAGGTTGGGAATTGAGGAAAAAGTTGAAAATATATATCTAAAAGGTTGAAGAATGGTTTCAAGGGTATTAGTAATTGATTTGATGGTTCAAGAAGGGTGAAATATGAGATAGGGTGATCATATTAGTCAGCAACAACTTTAATCTTGAGAATTGATAGGAGAGGTGTGAAATTATTCAAGAAAGAGGGACATTTGATGATGGTAAACAAGGGTACTACGGGATTCATTCATATGTAATGATTGGTTTGAGGGATTTAATGGTTGCCAAGAGTTTTAAAATGTTTTCTATAGTTATTCTTATGATGAAGAAATCAATATTAGATGTGAAAAGGGGTGAAAATTGTCAAAAATGAAGGTCTCCAGCTGATTGCACATGTCAAAACTTGTCAGATCAGGATGTGTGTGGGCACAATTGAGGTAAAATGCTCCATCTCATAATGTAAAACCTTCAAACCACTATTAACAGAGGAGTTTTGAAAATTTTATAAGAAATTAAAGGGAATGGTGTGAATTTTGACTTTTGCACTTACATACACACATGTAGCAACATTTACATGACAAAGAGCTTATTTCATCAATCTTTACAGTTCAATAACCTATTCATTGCACATCTGAGATAGGTCATGTTATGCCAATTGATGATTGGAATCATGAGATCTACATGATGAGCTATAGTAATCCAAAATTGGAGTACTTTAGAAAAAAACCAAAATTTTCAAAATGGTTTTCAGCTATACCAATACCTGAACTGCTCCAAAATGCAGTGAAATTTGACCCAAATTCATCGTGGTGTGGATTTTCCACAATGAATTGCTCCTCACTGACATTTATATTTAAGAGCAAAAAACTTACAACATATTAGAGGAGAGAACTTGCTTTTTTGCTATATAGCGCACAAAAAGAAAAGAAGTGATGTTTTTCAAATCTATGTGTACATGAATCTACCACTAATTCTATTTAATTGAGAGTTGAACTTATAATCAATATTGTCAGGTTCCAACATTATTTCTAGAGAAAATTGCTAAAAATTTGTTCAAAACTAAGGAAAGTATTTCTGGATGTATCTTTGAAGCAGATTTGATAGTAAGAAACAAGAGATTCCTTTCCAGAGACAAGAAATTCTTTTCAACAGATGAGAAAATGTTTTAAGAGAAATGAGCACTGATGAGCAGTGAGAGTAGCTAGTGATGAAGTGAAGGAAGAAAATCACATGGGATATCTGTGGGGGAAGAAGAATTGGCAATATAGAGGGAGGAGAAAAGAAAAACTTTTCTGTGAGGAACCTGGCTCTATGTGTCAAACTTACAGGAGCCCTCAATTTAGGGACAATCACCTGACTTCCCACCTAGATGTTTATGTGTCTCTTCTAGAAATTGTTGGTGCTGCTGTGCCTTGGGGTACCACCAGCCATCAATTTTAGACTTTGCACACAGTCTGATGAGTAAATTACTCAATTTCTTTCTGTTGTGCCTCGCATATTTTTGGGGAGGCACCATCCATTCATCTATAATGAGTGTATAATTACAGGATACAAAGTAGAAGCCGGGCACGTGCCCGGCTTTGTGTCCGGAATCATTTTGGCAGTAAATTTTGATTTTCTGGGCAAAATTCCGGGCCCAGAATTTTAATTTACTGCCAAAAAAATCTGGGCACAAAGCCGGGCATGTGCCCAGCTTCTACTTTGTGTCCCGTAAATAATCATCTTTGCCTTGGTCCAGAAGCTTCACATTGTATAGTGATGGATTGAAAGCATGGATTTCTGGACCTCCTTTGTTTGTTTCAAATTTTGACCTTTTGAAAGTCATTCATAGTGCGCATTGTCTTCTTTTAGACAAATTTACAAACTTAATAGAGCCCTAAGAGCTATGGGATTGGGGGGTTCAGCTCTAATTTTGTGAAAGGTGTTGGATTGGGATAATGTCTTGGCTTTTCTGCAATTGTTCCTTGCTCAGAAAGCCTTTTTATAGCTACATTACCTGTTTTCATTTCTGTGAAAGGTCTAAGGTCTGGTCATTGACCTTTTCGTTATTTTTCCTTATTTCTTATATTTTTGAATTTCAAACCTTCTTTATTCTTTTCAAGACTGGAAAATTAAGACATGAGCTCTTTTTCATCTTCATAAATCCTTTATATACAGCAAACAAGAGTTCTTTCTCAATTTGATCACATTCCATGGTCAAGAAGGAAATGATACCAATCAATGGAGACAAATTATGTAGATTACAGTTGAATCCTGGATGCAGCGTCTGAAAAGATCTCTCGAGGTCAGTTGTCAGTCAAGAACCATGTGTATTTGCCCTGAAACCAACAAGCTCATATCCACCCAAGAAAAGGTGCAGAAAATCAATATACATGACAAATCTATGTGGTTGGCATATGTAGCCTTAAAGAAAATAAATAGGCTTAACTTCAAGACATTTTTAGGGATATTAAATAAGTAAAGTACTAGAAAGAAAAAGACATATGACCAAATCATCATCACAACCTCATTGTACTTATTTATCAGCATTATCTATCCCTTTATCAAACAGTTGCTCTGCGCTCAAAATGGGGAAAGCAAAGGTACAAGAATGATAAGTCAAACTCAGAGGAAGCATGAGATACATTGGACACACCAACACCACCAAAATATATTTCTTGGGTTTCAGAATCCAAGTCATATAGGATACAAATCCTTGGACAGAACTTGTCCAAGGTTTTGATTTGAGTCATTGTTTTGGGCCAAAAGATACCTTGACTCAAATCCTTGGAAATCTCGTTTTCAAGGATTTGAATCTGATGATACCTTCAATTGACAAATCTGAGGTAAATTTGTTGGCTGTGCAGGACCAAGTGTCAACAATTGATGTATTATCTCAATTGTTGAGCATGGGAACAGATAGGTAAACAGGTGAAAATCAGTGGTATGTCACTTGTACTCTAAGCGAGGTTTTGTGCTGATCCCAAAGTCAACATCCACTTTGGATGTTGATGAAGCACAAAAAGTGTGCCCGGTACTTATTATCGTTGAAAAGAGTCTTTGACAGTTCAGTAGGTCATATCCAGAAATTGATTTATCCAATTATTGGACTTTTTTTTTCTGAACTGTAAATCTCAAACCACATCTCAAACCTTTCATTTCCAACATGCCTGCTGACAGTGATCTAAAACATGCCCTACAAATAAACCAGATCCTCTCAATCTCCCTTCTATGTAATTACATTGCCAACAGATGAACAGATGACTTATGAACAAAAGAACCAAAAAATAAGGATAACCCAAGGAAGAGAAGAGGTCAAAGCATGAATTGGTAGAGATCAATTGAATAAGCTTAACTAAGCCCCTGTTCCAACACAGCCATGTCTGCCCTCAAAGAGGGGCTTAGGGCTAATACCACAACTTTGGCCTGACACCAGCAGGATTTTCAAACAATTTTGCTTGAAATCCTTTTTTGAGGGCTCTAAATGTCATGAAACCTTGCAATAAATTTGGCTGAACTTTTCAAGCTCTTTTGCTTCTCCTCATACTATTTCTAGCCTGTCACCACTCCTAGATCATGAGGAAATTTGATTCCAATACCAAGTGATTTTGACGGGTTCAGTGCGCATGTAGGCCTGCGTGCTGAGTATGTATGCCCCAGATTTACAAGAACTCAATAGCTCAGATTTGTCACTTTACTCAATTAAAAGTGGCACAAGTGTGTGTACAAGGCTTATAAAAAGCTCTTGCCAATTTTTTTAAGGTTGGATTTCAAGCAAAATTGCTTGAAAATCCTGCTGGTTTCAGTGAGGCAGGGTATAAGCTCTTAAGCCCCTCTTCGAGAGCGGACGTGGCCGCGTCGCAGGAGGGGCTGTTAAGCTTGTTACTTTGATGAAAACGCCCGCTGGGCTGGAGAAATTTTCGAGAGACGCTACAGAATGAGGAAAGATCTGTTTTTGGAGATTTGTGCAAAACTGGAAGCTCGTGATATCTTTTGGGTCCAAAGATGTGTAGGAACTTTGCTTGAACCACAAAGTACTTTTACATACGTATCGGCCTCTGATTTAGTTGACAAATTCGATCAAGGTCGCAATGTCTGATCAAATCTCCACAGTAGAGCTACCATCGATCACCAAAGATGAATATCAAGATCCCATCGTGTCAAATGCTATTCAATTCATCCACCATCAGATTCGCCTTCACTTCCGTGACCCTCCTCCGAATTCGGACCACCAATCTTCCATCCCACCCAGACCGTTGTTCGTGGGCCTACAAGGCGCCCAAGGAATTGGTGGGCTACGTTTGATTCTTGGCATCTTGTTTGATAAGTTGACAAATCCATATCCTGAATCCGATGACATGGGTAATCAGGTAAAAGTACGGCTGTTGCGTCTATCGCAAAGCGATTGGGATCCGAGCCCTTCAACCTTAACGTCATCACCATGTCCCTCGATGATTTTTATCTCACCCATGCAGACCAGAACGCACTCGAAGCTCGCTATCCTGAAAACCCAATACTTCGAGGACGTGGTCCGCCAGGAACTCACGATATGAAACTTGCTACCGATGTCTTCAACGTGCTTTCAGATATCAACTCGCATTCCGAAAAAATTGTACGCATTCCCAGATACGATAAATCTGCATTCGGTGGTAAAGGCGATCGAAGCAATGTTGAAACAATTGAGCTTGGTTCTACCCTGCATCTTGTCATTCTCGAAGGCTGGATGGTTGGTTTCCAATCGCGTCCCGAACACGATTTCAGGAATCAATACTCACAGACCTTAAGTCTCGCCATGGCTAGAGCTGACTGGAGTCACCCAACAATCAAGTTCCCACCAGCTCCAAAGACTTATATCATTGGTCATAAGTATGAGGATCTTGTACAAGTCAATGAACTTTTGCAGCCCTACCAGAAAAGTCTCTGGTCTAAGCTTGATCTCTTGATCAAGATCATACCAATGGATTACGATTGGGTATATAAATGGCGATTAGAGGTAAGCCAACTTTATACTCCTTACTTCATGATCATCCATTCACAACGAGTTCCCCCTGATGCTTGATTGGTCATCAGCAAGAACATCGCATGAAAGCTCTCAACGGCGGTTTTGGAATGTCAGACTGCCAAGTGCACAAGTTCATTGATCGGTGAGTACTACTTTGTGTATGGCAATGATGTGATGACGTTCTGTTTTTGGAACACCACTCATGGTATGGCGTTGATTGTTTCTTGAAAAGGTACATGCCATTCTACGAATTTTACAAGGAAAGAGTCACAATCCGTCACAATCCTCCCTCTCCGCTCAATGGAATGAGAATCTTTGTGAACGAATCAAGAGTGCCAGTTGAGATAAGCCCATTCTCTATCGATGAAGAAGCAAAACGTTACGATTTACCAATGGCCACATGTTATGATTTTTGAAAAGGCATCCCTTGGGGAATGTAAATATTGCCAAGTCAGATATACAAGAATTCTATGAAAGCTGGTCATAAGACATGCTTGGATGATTTCATAGCGCTCGTTTAGTGCTTTCAATCCTTTATCTTCAAAAAGCCAATAAATCCCTCTGAATTCTGTTAGAATTGTCTTTATGATCTCTGATGAGTAGTGCCAGGTTTCTGAAAGTCATATGTTGACTAGAATCTCGTGCGTATCTTAGAAATCAAAGCAAAATGCTGGGGAATAGATATGTTGAGGACAAAAGAGTAAACATTCAGCTTTTATAGGATTCATGTATGTATATAAACATGATAACTGTCCTCCTCTTGAGGAGGTATGAAGGTCATAGACTTGCACAGATTCCTGAGTCATAGGTGCCTCAAGAAGACCTTTCCCGTACATTTACGGAGAGGTACGGAGAGGTCAAATCATTAAAAAGATGTGAAGAGCTGAAAAATTCCAGAACATTTATTTGATATGTCATTTACGGACGACTTATCAAAAAATGAACGAAAGTAGATATACATGCGTCTATCTCATAGAATTACATACAGATCTATTCGGACCGCTCTGCATATATCGTTCCCAATGCAAGAATTTTATGAAGGATGTTTGAGTTATGAGAAAAGACACCGAGGGCAATGTAATTAGCATCCCCGATGCTACTCCCCTGATGATGTGCCACATCACTGGGAACTGTCATCATCATGGCTGGCAAGTTCAAGAAAGACGAATATGGTGCCAGAATTTAAACAATGGTCACAACATTTGACGATAGAATCATTATCAAGTTCATTGAGTATAAAGTTCTTCCGTAATAGAACAAATGATATCTTTTCCTTGTTGATTGGGCTCGGAGCGTGAAATGACCTTTTTCAAGTGTAGGCATTGATCTTAGACCTAACTGGATATCTTCAGGCATGCAAAGTATGGATTTCCGAAAAAAGAAGGTATGTGACATGCAGAGTACTACAATTGATGCTGAATCAGAGTGATGCTGACACTTGATGTATTCAATATTCAGATAACAAAAATGCATGAAAGATAAGCTTGATAACACAATCAAATCGATCAGTGGGTATGGAGTTCTTTTCCAGAGTACGGACCTCCTGCTACGAACAGTCTTGTGCAGTCAATATTCTCGAGAAGATTGTCCATCAGGCTTACATGAACCTTTCCTTCTGAGTGAACCATTTGTATTGTAGCTTGAAATATCTACAAAGCTAGTAGGATAACATCCTTTGTCTTTCTGAGGTTCCAAAAACTGCACAGCCTCTTCTGAAGTGGAATCTAATGTTTATTTGTCCTGAGGAGCTTTCTGGCGATAACTCAATTTGAGATGTATATCAATGTCTTCTGTAACATCTCACTCCATATCTTTCCTATGATGCTCCGCTTCTATTGACACATATTTCTCTCCTGGCACAAACATGGAGTACAATCTGGGGTATGCGCTTCTACCTCCAATAAGAACTTTTCATATGATCGTAAAATTAAACAGATCAAATCTCATCGAACCCTATGCATTTTTCTTTGAAACGTATATATACCCTTCTCGAAACAAGGACAAAGTTGAAGTTGCCAGAAATATTTCTAGGGATTTGGGTTCTATTGGTGTCAGTGCCGATCGGGGAGATGTTTCAGCAATAACCCGACACAGTCAAAGCCTACGGTTTTTCTGCTGCATGTTGCACAACTGCATAGAACTGCATTAACCAACACTTCAAATATATGCACATCGTTACCTGTTTGTTGTTGGTCAAGTCATTCTGAAAACTTGAATCTAGTCTCTACATAGGAGGTTTATGAAATGTTTGAAGGTGGGGCGCTCAAGCTACGGGATCTCAAGGAAGGACACCTTGTTAACCTCAACTAACCCCCCGCTCCTACCTCTAACCCCCCTCAAAGCCACACTGCGGCAGGAGATCTTTACATATCCTTTGCTTTCTTGAAAATGTAGTGTGTCATCACATGTCATCTCAATTAAGTCTTACTTGTCTGAAGGGAGACTAAACTGGGCTCGAAATTGCTGCATGAAGTGCAGAACTTGAAGGGAATGAGTCTCTGGGTAACAGATTCATATGATATCATGAGAGATGGACATACAACACACCTGAAGCTGAAATTGTTTTTGACCTTGTTGCAGAGGTATGGAATGAGAGCAATGAGAGCCTTGGACATATTTGTACTGCTTTTGGAAAAATCGATAAAACCGGATGTTTACGTGCAAGAGTGTTTTAATGTTCTTGAGGGGATAGCTTTCACCGATGGTACATACTTCACCCATCCAAAATCTAATCAAGGGCTTTTGAATCAAGATGTTTCCACTATTGGTTCACAAAGTATCATTAAACAGAGGTTCTTCGTAGAATATAAGATTAAGAGCAAGTGTACATAGGGTGGAAACATTAATTTGAGAAGCCAAAGAGCATTTGAGCACCACACTGGAAGGTACTCAATATATGTTTGATAGTGCCAAGTTCCGTTGGCCTTGAAGTCTGCTTTGATGTTGCCTCTGAGCTTGATGTGCGAGAGAAGAAACCCCACCTGATACATTGAAGCTGAAGGTGCTCTATGGTTAGAGATAGCTGAAAACTTGACTTGAAAATGGGAATATCTTTGATTCAGATTGGGGAAGCATTCACCCTCATGATTAGCAGCCATTATTGGCCATAGTCCCCATAACTCCTTCAAGTTCAACCTCCCTCACAGTCACGAGTTCTCAAAACCGCTTTCAAGTACAGGAGTTGAAAGGTTGAAGTTGAATGAACCAGCCCAGAGTTTGAATTCTGAATTGTCTTTGTACCCCTCTTTGATTCTCGTACCATTGATGGAGCTGAGTAAGTTTTGGAGGTAATCTGACTCCTATGAGGGAAATGATCAGACCCTGACATCCACTCGAGCCACAATCGACTAATGCGGATTACTCCGTGTCACCTTCCCAGATTTTCATGCCTACTACATTTTTGGACCATGTTGCTTTATGACAGCTGCTCATCTTCCACTTGCTCATCTTGATCAAACCACTGCCTCTAATCAATTACGCTCGTTTTTTCTCTCATAACTTGACACATATCATCCCCGAATTCACGCTTTTTTCACGCTCAGATCCTGGTTTGCCAACGGAGTGCGCTTTCAAAAAAGCTCCCACGCATTATAATTTGAGGAGCGAAATTCGAGCTGAAAGGTCGTCAGGAAAACAGAAACGGTCAAGAAAGGAATCGAAGTCAAGTCAAGAATTCACTCTTGCTTAGACTTTCAACTTCAACTTCAACCGAAATAGTTGGTGGAGCATTGCTTTTTTAATTGTAGGTTTTGTCAAATAATCTCAAATGGAAATCTAATTTCTTGAGCTCTTTAAGCAGCTTTGATTAAAGTATAAAGGCCAATGATATAAAATCGGTCACACGTTGAGATATCCAAACCAGTCTGTTGATTTGGAACCATTCTTTAACATCAGTTTTAACTACGACACTCATACTACCTAATTTGGACTTTGAGCTTCTCTGAACCGAAAGGTCGGTGGTCATTTCAAAGTACACGGAATAACTTGATCAATCCTTTTACCGATTTACTTTTAATTCTTTTAAAATTAATTGGTGATTAAATAAATTTCATTTGAATTTCATTTATTTTTTTTACAAATCCCCTAGAACTTTTGGCTGACTTGTATTGATTTGTTTTATCTTTTTGCATACATACACTTCCTTTTCCTTTTGTTAAACTTTCCTTTCTTCCAAGCCTCAACTTAAACTTTCGAACTCTATCTCATGAATGCGGTGTCGTTTGTATTTTAAATGTTAGTCTAAACTCTTTCTTCCATCGTGCATCCTCATCACACTTATCTTCTGATTAACTGACTTACCCTACAGAATATTTATAACATTTCATCAACTTCAAGTTTTGCTCGAAGCCTCATTCATTTTCGGTTTACTTTACATTCGTTACATTCCAGAACACTATTTTCAGGACTCATCACCTCATAGCCTTCTCGATCGATCTTATCAAAGAATCAATAATTAAACAGGAAACAATCACAAAAAAATTAGAATAGTCTTCAAAACACTTTCATCCTCGATATCATCACGGTAAGAGCTTTTCCTCTTATATTTCCTCAGCTGAACCTTCAATACAGTTTCTTTTGCTCCCCAAATATTTCATCTGTTCAGCCGCTGTTGGCAGTTAGCAATCGTTAGATACTCCCACGACCTTTTTATCCATTTCCTCCTCGGAGCTTGCTATCAGTTTCTGTCTCATGAGCCATTGTGAATTGATTCGATCTACAAATTGAAACAAACGCGCTCATTCTCATGCCGCGCTCATTGTCTACTTTTCTTATACACATAACCACTTTCACTTCTCTTGACCCTCCTTTTTTCTTTCTTTCGATCTGAGATTCTTTTTCAATATCTTCATGATCTGATTTTTTCCTGGTTACCAAGGTTAATCTCTACTGCAGTTCGTCACGGGAAGTGAACTATAGAAGTTGAAATTCTTCAAGACGGTCAAGACGAATACGAACACTCTCTCAGAAATTGGATCGTTCCTGTTTACATTTCTGAATCAAATTATCTGATTTTAATTTGGTGATTTACTTTGGTTTCATTGTCTAATCATTCACCAATTCTCAACAATCGTTTCAGTTCTTTACTTTTGAGGTAAAACTATTTTCAATCAGTTCAACTTTCATAGACTCACTACTCACAAGCCTTGATGGTTCACGTGTGAGGTAACACATGCTCTGTATCACTGCATACGTGGTCATAGAATCGAACAGATTGCTGCCATCGAATATCTTCAGCTTTATTCTGAACCTTTTTCCGATTCTTTTACTTTCAATCTAAGCCGAACTTCATCGGCTTGAAGCCATTCTTTTGATCGGGTGCTTGATCTTGATTCTTACCTTAGCTTCAAACTATCTGCCATCAATTTCACTCACTCTTTGGTCTTATGCAATCTCATCCCTATCGCTTCGAACCACT